AATCTTACCTTCTTCTAGAATCACTAGGATTTGAGGACGAACGTGTAAAAATAACTCCTTGTTTTTTTTTACTAAATGAACATTGAAGAAGAAAAAAAAAATTTGTAACTGTAATAATAATACACGTACATTTAATTTTGTGCGACCCTAAAGGAGCAGAAACATTAGCTAAAACGTTAACTAAATTTTAGAATTTTCAATTATAGAGACCTACAAAAAAAAAAAAAACAAACAAAAAAAACCCCTTTTTTTCCCCCACGATGGCCGCAGTTGCTATAGTAACCAAATGTTAAAAAGAGTCCCTCATGCATGCAAATATTTTCCCTTACATAACCAAACTCAGATACACACAAATAAATTTAAAAAAACTGCTTGTCAATTACTTAAGTATTCATATTTTAAACATAAATGAAATAAAAACATAAATAAAACAAAATGTTTGTCTTAGAAAAAATTCGTATTTTTTTATATAACGAAAATATGTTTATATTATAATACAATCGTTTAATTTTCGTTTCTCTTTTTTTTCCAGCTCGTAAAATTTTGATTAGCAAAAAACTCTAATTAAAACAACATTATTTTATGGAGTATGCCTATATATGGTTTTAAAAATCTCTCGGTAAATGAATCTGCCGGTTTCTTAATGTAAACGTATCTGAAACTTTCTGATACTTCAACGATTTCTAGAGTCTAGATTAGATCTAGACTAAGTTGTGCGGAAGTCACTAAACTGCTAACCTCTTACCTTCCTCTTTTCTGTTTCATTATCCAGATTGTGACCTTGCCTTGAAGACTTTTTCCCCGCTTGAGATGGTCTTAACGGTAGACTGATGGTTTCTGTTACTGAATAACTTTGTTAGATGTCTCTTTGCTTTTATGTTGTTTTGTTTTTGTTTTTAGAAATCTCTTTTCGAAACTCAAGCAAATAATTTAAAGATGGATAAAAGGAAAGCCCATGATTTTGAACGTGAGATTGGATGCGTTTTGTTTTGGGTTTACAATTAAGCTATTTAAAGATTGATTTCTGATTCGAAGTTGCGCGCCGGAGTGCGCAATTTTTTTATACAATTGATTTGATCTCTTAATTGTCGGTATCCACTCCTTTAGATCATTGCTATCATTTGGAGTTAAGGTTACTGGTTAGTATTCAAGTAACGATCGGTTTTAGGATTAGGATAAGCTCTAGGGTTCGTTGTAATTTCCTGTTGGTGCTTCGAGTTACGGCCAGGTGAAGTAGAGCTTATTTGTTTCAGTGATATTAACTTATAAAGTAATAGTGGTGTGTGTACCATGCTCAGCCGCCTTAGTTTTCCTTAACGTGAGTCAGGTACTTATTAAAGCTGAGTGAACTCGAGGACGTTGATGGCATGGAGTCCGGGATCCAAAACCGAGCCTTTGGGGTTAGAGATATACTCTCATAGTTCCAATGTTAGTTTTGTGATACGTTACAAATTATTATTTATAAGTTTTCAATACATACATCTAGCATACAGAATACTTATATTTCAGATATTAACTATCATAAGTTATAGAAAGTGTTTTTATGTGTTTATTATCTTTTACTTCAAACACTGGAATACAATGGTTAGATTATATACAGCAGATAGTTCAGTCTTCGATACTAAATAAACTCATCTTACTCTGTATTTGTTTTGTTGAATTAAATAAAATAAACAAATAGGTTAGAAATTATTTTTGTTTGCTAATTATAAACCAGACAGTGAAAATTTTAATATAAACTTGTCACTTTTAAAAAGTATATAAGGAGCTGGAATACAGTATAAAATCAAACAATGTGCAAACACAAAGTTTTAAGAAAAAAAATATAAATGTAAAAGTCTAGAGTCTAGATAGTTATATAATAAGACTATTTGACACTACATAAAACACAGTAATATGGTACGGCATTGTCTAGCCGTAGATAGCTAGAATACTAACCTGAAAGTCCCGAGTTCAAATCCGGTTCAAATTAGTAGAATTTACATGAGTCCACTCAGCTCTGATGGGTACCTAACTCATGTTAAGAAAACAAAGGCAGCAACGCATGTTATCCCTTCATATGTCAAGGTCTCTGAAGGAGATCGTGTCCCATTTATCTTGGGTACCTAAGGGAAAAGATGAAACACTCGAACAAAACAAAACTAATATGAATTTCATGACAACTATGTACAGAATAACATATATGTATAAGGTATGTATATGCCTACCAGGCCTTATGTTTGTCTATTCCTATTTGTTTTGACGATCAGATAGACGGATAAACTGATGGTTAGACTGGCGGTTAGACTGGCTGGCGGTTAGACTGGCGGTTAGACTGGCGGTTAGACTGACGGTTAGACTGATGGTTAGACTGACTGATAGACTGACGGATAGACTGACGGTTAAACTTACGGTTAGAATGAGGGTTAGAATGATGGATAGACTGACGGATAGACTGACGGATAGACTGACGGTTAAACTTACGGTTAGAATGAGGGTTAGAATGACGGATAGACTGACGGTTAAACTTACGGTTAGAATGAGGGTTAGAATGATGGATAGACTGACAAATAGACTGACGGTTATACTTAAGGTTAGAGTGAGGGTTAGAATGATGAATAGACTGACGGATAGACTGACGGATAGACTGACGGTTAAGCTGACGGTTAAACTGACGGTTAGACTGAAGCTAGACAAAATAAAAAAAAACGAAAAAAATATTTCCATAGTGTTTTCTGATCACAAGACATGAAAGCGTAGGCTTAAAAGTATATGTTTTTACACTATACAAATTATACAGACGAGAATTAAATCATTCTATGAAAGCAGTGTAATGTATATTTTCGTCCCTTGTGATTTGCATCTAATAAACAGGTTTTATTTTTTTTCTAACCCCTTTTACAGCCCCAGGGGTGTAGCGAGGGGGGGGGGGGGCGGGGGGGGGGGGGGTGCGGACCGCACCGGGTGACACCATTTAGGGGGGTGGCACCAAGGCAAAAAAATAGCAAAATATATAGAGAAAAACTCGAGGGGGGGTGCAAATCGAAAGTTTGAGGGGGGGGGGGTGCAAATCGAAAATTTGAAAGTTTGTCCCTGGGAAGGGTCTCTATGCCTCTGGGGGGGGGGGGGTGACACCATTAAGTGCCGCACCGGGTGACACCCGACCTCGCTACGCCACTGTGCCGCCCTACTAGGTTCGGCACCCTCTGGGCTCGTGTGTTAGCGTCAATGTGATTCTGTGAATGTGTGTGTGTGTGAGAGTGCTATTGTTACACAGTGATATGCAGCTTTTGTCTCGAAATAAAATAAGCGCTATCGCTGCTTGTGTTGACTTAAATATTTAAAAACATGCCGTAGCATAAAATGAAGGAAAACAAACTTTAATATTAGGTTATACATATTTAACATTTATTTAGTTTATTATACATCTTTCAAGGTGAAGCAGCGTGTACGTAGACGTATACGCATGCAAGTGCGCATGTAAGTTTTAAACTAACGGATACACCCTTTAAAAAATTGAAGAAAATAATTGCTATCAGAAATACAATTATTTTATTGCCCCTGCCTATATTTGCCTATATTTGTCTTGAAATCAGGGTTTATGGAGGGGGAAGGGTTGGAGTATCACGTTATTATATATATATATATATATATATATATATATATATATATATATATATATATCTATTGTGAGGACTGACACCAATTTACAATAGCAATACTTCTTTCATTCATTTCAGATGGTTACTTATACATAGATCTAATACAAAACGTCTAATTACAAGATTATTTTGAAACCTGAAAATGCAAATGTTTAATGAAATGGTGATTCAATGGTATTTTTTTCTCTGTGAGATGGGTTGATTGGGTATGGGTTACAAGTAGAGTTGAAATAAATTTAGGATTAAAGAACAATAACATACATATTTTTATAAGAAAACTAACTTTTTTAGTTTAATGTAATTTTGTATTAACTTGTGATTTAATATAGCTAAAAGTTTGATATTTACATGCAGTTATATTATAATTCGAAACCCAATATCATTTAGAAATTAGATACACATTTGCTGTTAAAAGTTAATGTTTAGATAAACAATAATCAACGAAAAACCATTTTAGTTTTCTTACAATTGATTTTCTCTTTATTGTTTTCACTTTTGAAATCATAGCCTTAGAGTTGTCTACCTTTAAAATTCAAAAGCGATTAAATGAACAAGTTAATATTACGTATGATGATTTTATATTATTTTGTAACATTCAGACGTTTAGCCTGCAGTATGTCCATACTGATGGGTATCAAACTTAAGTTAGATAAAGTAAACGAGGTGGTAAATAACGCTAACCATATCGTTCCTTTTTTCAAATGAAAAGGTTAAGAACTCTACTTCATCGTTCTAATGGGATCTTCATAAAAAATGTTAGGTTTACACTGTTTATATATATATATATATATATATATATATATATATATATATATATATATATATATATATATATATACGTTTATATATTTAATATATCTTAGCATATAATATATTATGATAGCATCTTTTACGTACTCGCTGATCCTCCTTCATCAAACACCTCACGTAAGCTAAAATAGTTGTTAGATTCTGTTTATCGCATATCCAAAAGAAAGAACATACCACATGACCTCGCTTCTCAAATGGGGAACTGCTGGCTCAATGGACTGAGTTGTGACAGCCTTTTTATATCGGACAGATATAAAGCCTTGATTTTATAGCCTAGTTCCTTTCAAAGTTACGATATGAGAAGCGACTTTGGATTGATATACACTTTTTCCACCCCTTTTGGCATGATGCCCTTATTCCTTCTATCGCTTCTTTTGACCACCCCCTGAGGTGTTTTGACTACCTTTGCTACGATGCCCTGAGGCGTTTTGACCGCCTCTATCACGATGCCCTGAGGTGTTTTGACCGCCTTTGTTTGGATGCCCTGGGGCGTTTTGACCACCTTTGTTTGGATGCCCTGGGGCGTTTTGAGCGCCTTTGTTTGGATGCCCTGGGGCGTTTTGAGCGCCTTTGTTTGGATGCCCTGAAGTGTTTTGACCACCTTTGTTTGGATGCCCTGGGGCGTTTTGACCACCTCTATCACGATGCCCTGAGGTGTTTTGACCACCTTTGTTTGGATGCCCTGAGGTGTTTTGACTGCCTTTGTTTGGATGCCCTGGAGTGTTTTGACGACCATTGTTTGGATGCCCTGATGTGTTTTGACCTCCTCTATCACGATGCCCTGGTGGTCTATCGCTCACTGGGCATGCCCTAGTTGGTGCCCTGGGCTGGGACTTATTGCTGGGACTGCCTCTCCGTTTTTGTGGTGTCCGTTTCTCAACAGAAAGGGACTGATTATTTCCACTCGCCTGAGTCCTTTTGAGTAACGGCGCTGCATTGACAGATCTCGGTCGTGACATAGAACGTGACCTTGAAAGTGATCTCGAACGCGTCCTTGACAGTGAAAGTGAACGCGACCTTGAACGCGATCTTGTTTGTGACCTTGAACGCGGTGACATAGAACGTGACCTTGAAAATGGCATTGACCGTGACCTCGAGTGAGATCTGGAATATTGCATTTGACGTGACCTGGAAAGTGATGTCGAACGTGTCCTCGACAGTGAAAGTGAACGCGACCTTGAACGCGACCTTGTTTGTGACCTCGAACGAGGTGACACAGAAAGTGACCTTGAAAGTGGCATTGACCGTGACCTCGAGTGAGACCTGGAATATTGCATTTGACGTGACCTTGAAAGTGATCTCGAACGCGTCCTTGACAGTGAAAGTGAACGCGACCTTGAACGCGACCTTGTTTGTGACCTCGAACGAGGTGACACAGAACGTGACCTTGAAAGTGGCATTGACCGTGACCTCGAGTGAGATCTGGAATGTTGCATTTGACGTGACATGGAAAGTGATCTCGAACGTGTCCTCGACCGTGAAAGAGAACGCGACATTGAACGTGACCTTGGTTGTGACCTTGACCGCGAACG